GTGCTCCCCTTTTTTTAAAAATTTTGGGGTTTCGGCCCCTACCGGACTGGCTTCCTACCGTCCGGTATCCAGACACTGGACCCCAAACCGACTGGACGCCCGTCCGGATGTCCGCATGGTAGCCATGCAAAATATTTAATTCATTTAAATATTTTCTAAAAGTCATTTCTATTTTAATTTTCGAAATTTTCAAAATAATTATTTCGAAAATTCTGAATTCCGAAATTCAATTAATTTCATTCATTTCTTTCCCAATTTCATTCAAAATTTTTAATTTTCTCGAATTAATTTATTGCGGGCATTTTTGCCGAATTAAATTAATTCCCACACCCTGCCTCCACATAAATCCCCAAATTCCTTTTATCTTTTCCTTTTTCAAAAACAAAATCCTCCTTCTTGAAATTCGAAAATACGTTCTGATTATTTAATTCTTTTTCGACATTTTGTAAATTCGGAAATTTGTTTTCTTCTTTGGAAAATCTTGGCAATTATCTTTATTTATTGATAAATAAATAAAAAAATCCCCCCCCCACCTCCTCCCCCCCCCGAATCTCCACATGCCACCACGCAACACCAAGAACTCCCAACTCGCCGCCGCCGCTGCTGCCACCGCTGCCGCCGCATCTGCCTCCACCTCATCCGCAGCCGTCACCTCATCTGCCACTGCCACCACATCCACTCCATCTTCCCCCAACATGGCCCAATCCTCCAGCATCGACATGACCGCCGTCAACACCCAGTCTGTTGACAGCCTCGCCAACGAACTTACGGGCGAATAACGATCTGAGCCCGACATTGCCACCGATATCGCCACCCTCATTCGGATGATGTCCTCCTTCCAAACGGACATCCGCCCGTCCATCAACAAAATCGAAACCAATATCTTTAGCATATCCGATCGTGTGACCACTATTGAGCATCACACCCCGACAATCACAGTGGTCACGACCACAGCACCCCCCTCTACGACCGTGCCCACATCCACCGCCCTCTCCGATAGCACGTCCTCCACACCCCTGCCTTCATCCACCACTACCTCCACCATAGTCACCCAGCCGAAAACCCCCGACGTCACACAATCGTCAACCATCCCCCCCAATCAAAACCCCTCTTGACTTCGTTCGTTATCACCTCCACCATCCCCAGCTATACCCAGATCATTCCACAGCTATGTATCTCGCTCTTCCACTACTCCCCCCAAATGCTCTCATCCCCACCAACCCCACCAATGATTTCACCCTGGTCGACTCTTCCTCTCCCACCCTTGATTTCAACGCCCTTGCCGCCACTAACCCCAGGGAAGGCAAAATCCCCCCATCATCCCGCGCCAATGAGATTCCCGGTCCTTCTCAGGCCAACCCCATGAGGATGTCTTCCTCTTTCTCACCAAACTTCAACAAGCCTTCTCCTTCCACAACATTCCTGTCGTCCACTGGCTCCCCATCGCTGGCAGCAGACTCCTAGACAACACTGCTCGTTGGTGGTACACTAAGATGACCAACCGCCATCATGCCAGTCTCCGACCTCACACCTTCCTTGAGTGGGCCACCCTCATCATCTCCACCTTCTGTCCACAGAAAACAGTCGATGACTACATCGACCAATTCTGTCGGCTCCAACAAAACGGCCCAACCGACCGTTTTATGCAATACGTCTGCTCGCTTCATCGACATATCCCCATCGACGTCGTCAGCGACTTCGCCTTCATCTCTCGCATTAAGCGCGTATGCTGCAAAAACCTAGCGGCCGCCCTTGTCCACGAGCGCCCCATGACCCTCGCCGACCTCCTCACTCGTGCCCTCCAACTCGACCGCATCCTCTCCCCCCACAAGACCGCACTAACATTTGCCCCTCCCCGCCCTCGCTTCTTCCAGAACATCGCCTCCGAGGACACCACCTCAACCACCTCCTCGGACGAGTTCACCGCCCCCGACCCTGACACCCTCTTCGATCCACTAGACACCACATCGCTCTCCCCCTACGAACTCTCTGCCATTCACCTCATGCGGATGGAAAAGAGAGATCACTCCAGCCACCCTTCCCCGACCACCCTCCCGAGCCGCCTCAAGAAACTCACACCCGAGGAAAGAGGCCACCTTCAGGCAAAGGGTGGATGTTTCCGGCATCGTCAATTAGGCCACCTTCAAACGGGATGCCCAAATGCCAGACATTTCACACACCAGTTTGCGGCTCCCCGGCTTGTAACCTCCGCATCACCCCCCTCGGCAAGAGCGGGTCCCTCCTCGACCTGAACACTGTCCCCAGGTCTCCGCCCCGGCATCGATGACTAGTCTGCCGGCCACCCCATCGGTGACGATCTCCATCCCACCGGTGGCCCATTTGGCATCGACAATACGTCTGCCTCCCCCCTCTCCGGTGTCGCACCCCCCATCAGACGACCCACTCACTTGTTCCTCAACCCTCCTTCCAAATCCATCCTCTGTCACCTTCTCTGGTGTTGTTGAGGAACAAGCCCGACACGATCGGCTTGTTCGATTAGGCAATCAACAACGCCGCCTCAACACCATTATCTCCACGGCCAACTCATCACGCTTTCACCTCAAATTCATCATCGCCACCCTTGGTGCGTCTACGACTAAGTTATGGGCCCTCCTCGTCATTGGAGCCACCGGAAACTTCATCACCGACGCGTGTGTCTGAAAAGCTGGTCTTACCTCTAACCGGATACGACTCCCCGATTAAGATTCGTTTGGGGACAAAGACATCGCCGTCATAGTAGACCACACGGTTCCCGAGACCACCACGACTGTCGGAAGCCTCCGCAGTTAGGTCTCATTTGATGTCATGCACTTAATGTGTGCTATCGTCTTGGGAACACCGAGGCTGGACCGCTACATGCCATACCAACTTCCTCCGCCTTACCAACCCACCTGACACAGCCATTGACATTCCCTATCTGCCCTATCTCACCTCCCCAAGTCCCGTCACCCCGCACCAATTCCTTCGCATGGATCGCACGAACCCTGACTCCACCTACTATTGCCTCGTCCTTGATCGCGAGCGTCCTGAGGACTTGCTCCCAACGGACATACCCGACAAAGCCCCCCTCTCCAACCCCCCCCTCACCTCCATCCTCGACAAGTTCAAGGACGTCTTCCCTGATTCCTTGCCTGCCGGATTACCTCTGAATCATGGCGTATCCCACACCATCGATTTGGAACCCGGACATTCTCCACCTTGCCGCTCTCCGTACCAACTGTCTGTTCCAGAAGCCGAAAAAATGAAGCCGCAAACCATGAACTCCTTGAGAAAGGATTCATTAAGTCGAATTCATCCCCCTTCGACACAAGCTGCCTTTTTGTAAAGAAAGGCGGAACATCGGAACTTCGGATGTGCACAGACTATCGGGCCTTGAACCGTATCACGATAAAAAACAAGTAACCCCTACCTCGGATCTTCGAGCTTCTCAATCGACTCCGCGGAGCCAAGTATTTTGCTAAGACCGACCTTCGCAGTGGCTTCCACCAGATCCGCATCCGCGAGGAGGATACCCACAAGACCGCCTTTCGTTCCCGATTCGGGCACTAGGATTCCTCGTGATGCCCTTCGGCCTCACAAACTCCCCCGCCACATTCCAATCTACAATGAATCACATTTTCCGCGACGTCCTCGAAGTCTGTGTTGTCGTCTACCTCGATGATATCCTCGTCTATAGCCCCACCTTCAAGTCCCACCTTCAGCATCTCCGCCAAGTCCTCTCTATCCTCAGAGAGCAAAAATTTTACGCCAAGCTTAGCAAATGCACCTTTGCCGCTTCAAGCGTTGAATACCTTGGCCACATTGTCTCCGCTTAAGGTATCCGCATGGACCCATCGAAGGTCACCGCCCTCATCGAGTACCCACCTCCCAAGACCCTACTCCAACTTCGATCATTTCTCAGCCTTGCCAACTACTACCGCCCCTTTATCCGCAACTTCTCCGACATCTTGTACCCTCTCCACGAACTCGCCCGCAAGGACGAACCCTTCACTTGGAACGACCGCCGCCAAAATGCCTTCGATGCCATCAAACAACTCATCACCACCGCCCCCGTCCTCAAGATCGCCGACCCCACTCGCCATTTCTACGTCACCACCGACGCCTCCGACTTCACCATGGGAGTCGTCCTGTCCCAACATTTCCCTCGTGACACCACCGAAACTCCCTCCATCAAGGAATCCCCCACCCACCCCGAGGCTCCACCGGGCAAATACCCCATTGCCTTCGCCAACAAGAAACTCCTTCCCGCAGAAATGAATTACCTCTCCGACGAGAAGGAGCTCCTCGCCGTCATCCACGATCTCAAAGTCTGGCGCCCGTACCTCGACGAGCAATACTTCACCATCCGCACGGATAACACCATCGTATCTTTTATCCTAACAAAGAAAGACATTACCCCACGACAAGCTCGTTGGTTAGACTTTCTCGCCTAGTTCACCTTCATCGTCTGCCATACACCCGACAAAAGCAACCGTGTTGCCGATGCCCTCTCCCGGCGCCACGATCACAAACCCCCTGGCAAAGTTTACGCCACAATGACACATATCCAACTCCTCCCGTCTCTTCATCATCGCTACACCTCAGGCTATCTCTCTTGCCAGACTTCGCCACCATCTACAACAAGCTTCGTGACCTCAATCCTGTTCCCAACTACTCCCTCCATGACAATCTCCTTAACATCGATACCAAAGGCACTCGCCGACTTTGCATCCCTGACGCACGTCGTCTCCGTACCCAGCTCTTGGCCGAACACCACGATGCCAAGATTGTCGGTCATCTTGGGTTCCAGAAAACATTCGACACCATCTCCAGCTATTTCACTGGCCTTCCCTACTCGCCGACGTCAAAGCATACATCCGCTCATGCTCCACGTGTCAAGCCGTCAACCCCTCGAACCGCGCCAAGCCCGACAAGCTACAATCATTGTCGATCCCCACCCACCGGTGGCCGTCCATCTCCATGGACTTCGTCTGTGGTCTCCCCAAGACCGACCGCGGACATGATTGCATCTATGTCATTGTTTGCTGCTTGACTAAACGCGCCCACTTCATCCTTTGCACCACATGGCACAACGCCAAGGACGTCGCTATTCTCTTCTTCGACCAGTCGCTCGCCATCATGGTCTCCCCGAGAACATCATCAGCGACCGTGACCCTCGCTTCCTTTCACAATTCTGCAAACACCTCTTTAAAGCCTACAGAACCACGCTCAAGTATAGCACTGCATTCCACTCACAGACCGATGGACAAACCGAGAAGATGAACGATACTCTCCAAAGAATCCTGCGGAAGTACTGTCATCCACATCAACACGACTGGGATCAGTTGCTCACCGCCACCGAGATCGCCTACAACAACGTTGTCTTTCCTTCCACTGGCATCCCGCGCCTGCCCTCCGATTTCCTGCTCCCCTCGCAACTCAACCCCTCCACTCCCTGTACTTCTCTAAATGAATGGGTAGCAACAATGAATCGACTCCTCAGAAGCAACCGAAGCCCTTGAAAGAACACGAACAACAAGCAAACAAGACTAACAAACACCGACGTGACTTGCAATTCAAAGTAGGGGACAAAGTCTGGCTCTCCGCCAAACGCTTTGAACCCGAACACGGCTTGTCCAAGAAACTCTCGAACAAGTGGCTCAGACCCTTCCCCGTCATTGAACAAACCTCCCCTGTCAACTACAAACTCCAACTCCCCCCTAACATGAGTCGTGTCCACCCGGTCTTCCACGTCGAATACCTAAAAGAATACCATGAATCCCCACCCCAATTCGCTGACTACCCATATACTAGACTTCCACCAATCATGTTACCCACAAGCCCTGAATTCGTCGTCGAAGCCATCATAGGACGAAGAACTACTCAGGTATCTGACAACCCTGAACCAATCAGAGAATACAAAGTTAAATGAACAGGATACCCTGACGAAGAATCAACATGGGAACCTCTTGCTAACCTTAAGAATGCTATGAAGCTTGTTCGCGCCTATGATCGTGCTCACCCTATATCCTAGATATATAATATAACTCAAAACCCGAACCCTTGCATAAATCCCGCCTCGACCCCGCCCAAACCCCGCATTCCTGCTCTACACACAACCCTGTACCCAGCAAAGCCCTTGCCTCTTGAACCCCCCCTGTCTGATCCACTCTTGCCTCCGCCTTGCCCCGTTCTCCCATCTGTCCTCCGCCACATCCTTGTCTCTCTTGTCAACGTTCCCTATGTGGCCCCTGTGCATCGCCGGCGATAATGGATCTAATGGCAAGCGCACGAGGACGATGGCATGCTGCAGCTCAGTTCGAGGAGATAAAGCAGCTGGCTGGCCACCATGCTGTTCCCATTGGCCGGCACATTGGACTCGCCGACTTCTGGAGCAGCAACCTCGAGATTGACATCAATATCAGTCTGCGACCTGCCATCCGGATCAGACCTCAGCACCAGATCAAGACTACCGGACGCCTCATGCTACTGGGACATTCAAGCTGAAGCCCCATTGACGACGTCCTCAGCTGACTGAAGACTGTTCCCTCCTCGATACTTCTGCGACTCTTCTCAAGACCTGTTCCCAAGACTTTCGCATAACCACTTTTGCAACCATACCCCTCAAAACCCTTAGTTCATCAATAGGACCACCCTGTTCCCCGCAATTCCAAAACCCTTAGTTCATCAATAGGATTACCCCGTTCCCCGTGGTCACTAAACCTTTAGTTCATTAATAGGACCACCCTGTTCCCCACAGTTCCAAAACCCCTAGTTCATCAGTAGAACTACCATGTTCCATTAGCTCATCAATAGAACAACCCTGTTCCCAGCTCACAATTACAAGCCCTGTTCCCTAATCACACAACCAGAGACCTGCATTATACCCCTGTTCCCATGTGACTTGCTGACCAGTGAGCGGCCCCGTCCCGTCCTCCGCAGTTTTCAGCATTGTTTCATGAATTTTGGCAGCCGAGATGTTGCCTTGTAGAGGGAGGGGATAGTGTCACGGACTCAGCCAGGGCTCGATCCCTGGTCCACGGGTTACCACCCGCCAGGCTGCTATTTTATTCTGAGTTCCTGATCTCCGGTTCTGGACTGTTGGCGCCCTCTGCAGTTGGCGCCCGTTCTCAAATTCCTCCACTGGCATTTTCGGATTTCGATACTTGCGCCATCCGGCATTCTGGTGCCCAGACACAGAACTGCGATCCTCAGTTCAGTCCTAAGGCAGACCGCACCTCGGCCCTCCGGACTGAGCCTGAGTCCGGTACTTAAGTCCGGACTCAAGACCCGTTGGGGCATTCAGTCTTCGGCCTCAGTGCTTGTGCTTCAGTGTGGCTTGCCGCGACTTTGTGTTCGGAATCCAAGATTGCAACTTTGTGACTTTGAGACTTGGCCACTTCGTGTCTGCGTCCGTCGTGTCGAGTCGAGTCGGTGCTCGAGTCGAGTGAGTGTGTGTGTGTGCTCTCACTCTCTCCCTCTCTCTCTCCCTCTCCCTCGACCTCTCTGCTCTGCCTCGGTCACGTGACAGTCTGGGCCAGGGAGCGTAGCCACAATTGCGGAGTCTTTAGAACCCGCGAAGCCCAGCGGGCCATGTGGGGGTGCTGTGTAGGTAGGACAATCTGCCAGGGAGGGTGCAGACTGATTTTCCAAGGTAACGGGCTTGAAAGGTTTTTCAGGGAGGAGCTTGAACCAGCTCTAGGGTGCAGACCGGATATGGTGGCGTCGACGGGCACTTCTCCCTCCATCCACGGAGGAGGAGATTTGGCACACAAAACGGGCGTCAATTTGGGGGCGTCCGTGGGTACAGGAAGGTCCATTGCGCAGGGAGAGATCACGCAGATGACTGCTGGCGGGGAGCAGGCGGGACAAGATGGGGCAGAAGGGGAGGTGGAGAGTGACTGTACGGCGACATATGATCAGCGTGGTTCTGCCAGGGACGACCCAGTAGATTAGGATAGAGTGGACAGAGAGTCTGAGCTAGCTGGCTGTCGTCTTGCGGATGACTGCTAGCGGACCCAGCAGCTTGCCCGCAAGATGAGCAGAGGCAGAGAGATACACGACCGACAACCATCCGGCACAGTTGGACGATCGGGAGGAGCAGGGGGTGCGACAGTAAGGGGGGGTGGCAGGAGGAGACGCACACGTTGCAGACGTGCCGATGGCAGGACAGATTGGACTGTCGGGAGGAATGGGAGATGCATCAATAGCAGAGGAGTCGGCGGCGGGACAGGAGGCCACTAGCCAAGGCGCGTCACCTACGACAGCTGAAGAGAAGGAGGCAGCGATTGTAGTGGACGCAAGAGGTGAATACAGGGCACCTACGGCGGGCGGACAGCAAGAGGCTGCAGGACAGGACATGACTGGAGGAGATTTGGCACAGCGTACAGAGGCTAAGCCTGGAGAGAGAGAGGAGTGGGGCACCATAGTTGCAGCTTGAGAGAGAGAGAGAGGAGTA